TCGTCGTGGCCAAGCCAGGCTACCGAGTGGCCTCTGACCCTGCTGTGCGCCCGCAGGCGGACCTACGTGGGCGCCATGCCCGGGAAAATCATCCAGTGCCTGAAGAAGACCAAGACGGAGAATCCCCTGATCCTCATCGACGAGGTGCGTGCCGAGAGGCCCTGAGCCTTCCTAACCCAGAGTCCCAGGCAGCCCTGACCAGGCAAGGCCGTGTGCAAGACGAAGCCCAGAGCCCTCCGGGCCCCGGGATCCCTAGGTCAACTCAGGTGCCGTCGCCATGACGCTGGACCTGATGGCACGGACGGCTCCCTCCCACCCACAGCCATGCCCAGCAGGCTGCCCGTCCAGGGCAGGGTGTGGGTGCTGCTCTCACGCAGGGCGTCCCCAGTCCCGACCCCGGGGTCTCCCCACTGGGCGGGCTGGCCAGGGACATGGCGAGAGCCACCACCTGCTGTCTGCTGCCCCAGGTGGACAAGATCGGCCGGGGCTACCAGGGGGACCCCTCGTCGGCACTGCTGGAGCTGCTGGACCCAGAGCAGAACGCCAACTTCCTGGACCACTACCTGGACGTGCCCGTGGACCTGTCCAAGGTGGGGGGCCCATCCGGGGCCTGGGCTCGGGGGGAGGGTGAGCGGCCAGTCCCCCAGCACCTTGCCGCCTCCCCCAGGTGCTGTTCATCTGCACGGCCAACGTCACGGACACCATCCCGGAGCCGCTCCGAGACCGCATGGAGATGATCAATGTGTCGGGCTACGTGGCCCAGGAGAAGCTGGCCATCGCAGAGGTAAGCCCAGGCCCTCCCCACCGCTGTCTTCGTCCCCGGAGCAGGGGTTGTCCCCCAGAGCCTGCAGAGGCCGTGCCGCTGGGAGTTCCCGGACCCGGGAGAGACAGGTGGGACCTGTAGCCCAGAGGAGCAGATGCGGCCGTGAGAGACACACCAGACGCTTGTGAGCAGCTGTGGGGTGGCGCGAGCGGGCACGGGGTTTAGGGCCCGGGACTGTCCAAAACACCGCCCACCACCATCAGGCCACACGGCCGTCAGCTGTCGGTGCACACACACTCCGTCTCCCGGGCGGGGCCTCTAGGCTGCCCCAGGGCCGGGCCCCCACCTGACCCAGAGTGTAGGGAAGCTTTCTGGCAGCCCAGAAGCAGCGGGGCCCGTGGTCCCCCCGGAATGAGGCTTTGAGGAGGAGTGGTTTCAGTGAGGAGCATGCGGGGTCTGTTTCTGCGGGGGAGGTGGGGGTCCCGTATTTCTGATGTGTTTTCTCTCTGGAAAGTGCATTTCTCCCTTAGGAGCGCTTTGACAGCCAGTGGTGGGCACTGGTCCCTGCCCCTGAGGCCTTCCCAGCATCCTCGTGTCCCCTGGGGGCTTCAATGCCCACTGCTGCGTCCAGCTCCCAGCCTGACTTCCCCAAGGGGCGGGCCTGTAGTTCCTTGGGACAGGACCGGGGGGCATGGGGACCCCTCAGGGCATCAGGAATGCCCCCCAGTATCAGTGGCAAATGTAGAGTGGCCTGCATGGCTCTGTCCGTCTCACAGATGCCCTCCCTGCATGCCGTTAGAGCTCAGAACTATGGCAAGAATTGTGGGGGCTGTCGCTGACCCTGAAGCCCACGACCCAGTCCCCCTTCTCATGTGGTGAGGGCAACAGCCACGTAACCAGTCAGCTACCCTACAGGCCCTGGGTCTGTGTATGGGGTCAGCCCAGAGACAACCAGGAGGCCTTCCTGGAGGAAGTGGTATCTAAGATGCCATTGGGGAATACAAAGTGGATCCAAGCAGAGGACGCAGCACAGGCAAAGGCCTCGGACCTCTGGGCATGGTGGGTGGCAGGGCCGTGTGTCCAGGTCCTGGTTTCACCATCAGGGACCTCGTTTCTAGGCCAGGGTCTGGGGGCCATGGGAAAGGCACTGGCTCCCAGGTTCTGGACTGAGCTGGTGGGCAAGGTCCCTCCACACCCAACCCTGACGGCCGCCCTTGCAGCGCTACCTGGTGCCCCAGGCCCGCGCCCTGTGTGGCCTGGATGAGAGCAAGGCCAAGCTGTCGTCGGACGTGCTGACGCTGCTCATCAAGCAGTACTGCCGTGAGAGCGGCGTCCGCAACCTGCAGAAGCAAGTGGAGAAGGTGAGCGGCTGCCCCGCCCTCCTGGCACCTGCCGCCCACCCCACCATCCCGCGCTCATCACCCCACCTTCCCATCCCCATCATGCTGCCTTGACTGCCCAGGTGTTGCGGAAATCGGCCTACAAGATCGTCAGCGGCGAGGCTGAGTCCGTGGAGGTGACGCCCGAGAACCTCCAGGACTTCGTGGGGAAGCCCGTGTTCACTGTGGAGCGCATGTACGACGTCACGCCTCCCGGCGTGGTCATGGGGCTGGCCTGGACCGCCATGGGTGAGTGTAGTGGCGGGAGGAGATCCCAAGCCATTCCCTTTTCTACCCAAGAACACGCAGGTCCCACCTTGCACACATGTGCAGTTGGCCGCTGGTGGCTCTGGACTGCCTCTGGCTGGGGGCGGTGTGGGCAGCTCAGGGTGTCTGGGGCTGACGGAGGGGAAGGCTGTGAGCACACAGGGGTGGCAGCACACCATGGGTCTTACGGATTTGGGTGACACTTTGATAGGCTTACAGGTGGGAACAAGGGGTCCCTCAGCATGAGCTCATCCAGACAGGCCTTGGGGCCACCACACAGAAAGGAGGCGAGAGGGCAAAGGGGGCGGTGCGGGAGGGGCTGGAGAGGGGCTTGTGTCTCTGGGCAGGGCAGCAGTAGCTGGGGTCCTTGTAGCCCTGGGGGTATCCTCTGTGGCTGGCAGCTGCTGGGGGCTGCCCTGGGGGGCGTAGAGGGCCAGGAACCTGCAACGCAGCAAAGGTGGAGGCCGGTGTTGGCTCCTGATGGGACACAGCCCCTGCCCAGGGGCACCAAGATGCTGAGCTGGGGCAGGAGTGGTCAGGGTGGCCCTGAGGGGTGGAGTGAGCGCCAGCCCGGGCTCTGAGGCCTCCCGTGTTCACAGCTCCACACCCATTCCAGGAGGCTCCACACTGTTTGTGGAGACATCCCTGAGGCGGCCACAGGACAAGGACGCCAAGGGTGACAAGGACGGCAGCCTGGAGGTGACAGGCCAGCTGGGGGAGGTGATGAAGGAGAGCGCCCGCATAGCCTACACCTTCGCCAGGGCCTTCCTCATGCAGCACGCCCCCGCCAACAACTACCTGGTGACCTCACACATCCACCTGCATGTGCCCGAGGTAACCGCGCCGCCTGCTCCCGCCCCGCCCCTGGGCCGCTGGCCACCTACTCACCCGCTTTCCCCACACCCCCCCACAGGGTGCCACCCCCAAGGACGGCCCAAGCGCAGGCTGCACCATCGTCACAGCGCTGCTGTCCCTGGCCATGGGCAGGCCCGTCCGGCAGAACCTGGCCATGACTGGCGAGGTCTCCCTCACGGGCAAGATCCTGCCTGTTGGCGGCATCAAGGAGAAGACCATTGCGGTGAGTGTCCTTGTGCCCGCCCCACAGCACTGGCAGGGCCCACACCACCACAGGACAGGCTCAGTTCCCACCACGAAGCCTCTGTGTGGGCCAGGAAAGAGGGAAGCCCTGGGCTTTGGACTCAGGTTTCCCTGGCCTGGAGCTGGCCTTAAGCTGACCGCCCCAGCTGCCTTCTCCACAGCGAGTCGTGTGGATTATTACATTCTAGCGCCTCCACTGGCTTGGCTCCTGCTTCCTTTCCCAGGCAGCCCAGCAGCAAGGGGGAGGCTGGAGATGGGGACAAGGTTTAGGCATTGCTGGTGTAGGGAGTGTTTGGAGCTCCCCGCCCAGGGGCTGGCCTCTTCTTAGGGTGCTGAGCAGGCTGGAGTGCCACTGTCCCTGCTCTTCCCTCCTAGCCCTGCCTGTCCCCAGACTGGACCACACCTGCCGTGTGTGCAGGAAGCCTGGTGGAGTGAGCCAGGATATTGCCACCATGAGGGAGGCGTGGTCAAGTGGCCATGACCACCTCGACCTGGACACCAGGCACAAACTCCCTAGATCAATGGTGGGGCAAATTGGGAGGCTTCCTGTCCCTGGAGGCAGTGTGCAGTGACAGTGCGAACTGCTGTCCTTTTAAGGGGCTGTGCTGGCAGACCTGTGTAGCCTCCGGAGCTGGGGAGGGGTGCCGCAGGGCCTGGCGGCAGAGCAGGCTGGGCTCAGATGCTCACAGGCCCATGTTCAGGCCCCAGACACTGTGCCTGACCCCTGGAGGTGAGGCCGTGGGGGTGTGGCTCATCCAGAGCCCTAAGACTGCTCCCACAGGTGGGGAGGCCCTAGCTCCTGCTCTTAGGCTGTGGGAGCCAAGGCCAATGGTTTGCCTTGAGCCCGTTTCCCCGCCGGGGATGGGGATCCTGCTTAGAAGCCCTTTCCTTCCTGGAGGACAGCACACCTGCTGTCCCCCCACAGGCCTGGCCAGGGCTGACCATGACTCTGCCCCCAGGCCAAGCGTGCAGGGGTGACGTGCATTGTCCTGCCAGCTGAGAACAAGAAGGACTTCTACGACCTGGCAGCCTTCATCACCGAGGGCCTGGAGGTGCACTTCGTGGAGCACTACCGGGAGATCTTTGACATCGCCTTCCCGGATGAGCAGGCAGAGGCAGAGGCGCTGGCTGTGGAGCGGTGACGGCTGCCCCGGGACTGTAGGCAGCGGATGTCAGGCCCTGTCTGGGCTGGAACTGAGCACTGCGGGGATTGTACCCGCGCCTGGCAGCGGAGCCACCGAGCGAGCAGCTCGGTCCAGTGACCCAGATCCCAGGGACCTCAATCAGCTTAATCAGTGTCTGGCACAGAAACTCTCTATTTAATGATTAAAGTCATTTCCAGTACGGCGGCCTCATCTGCTGCCCCGGGAAGGGTGGGGAGCCAGGGCTTTTGATTTGCGGCCAGGCAGCACCCACAGAGGGTGTGGCTCAGGACAGGCACCAGAGGGGACGGCGGACAACCCCCCACCCACGGACAGCAGCAGAGCCAGGGCTTCTGTCAAGCTGTTCTTTATTTCAGGGAGAAGCCAGGGGAGGGGGCTCAGTCTTTCTTGGCAGCAGCTTTCCTCATAGCGGCCAATACGTTGCTCAGCTCCTCCCGCTTCCTCTTGGCGCGGATGTGCGTCCCCACCTGCCAGGGACGAGGCCGTCGTCAGTCCGGCCCCAACTCCCATCCCATCCCGCCCCCCGGCCGGCAGCGCCCACCTACCCTTTTCTTGATAAACTTGAGGGCCCGTTTGTCCTTGGAGACCTTCAGTAACTCCATGGCACGCCGCTCGTACGGGGCAAAGCCACACACCTCCCGAATCATGTCCCGCACGAACTTGGTGTGTTTCGTCAGACGCTGGGGGAAAAAGGGGCGGCCGTCAGGGTAGGGGGAACCCTGCATTCTACTTAAGCAGCTTCCCGCGCTGCCACGATTTCCTCCGTAGGGAGCTGTGAGAACCAAGGAATTAAACCCTAGCGCTTTTCACCGCGCCCAGAGCAGCTCCCATCCTCCCCAAGTCCCAGTCTCCGCAACACTCGCAGGACGCGCCTGGAGTCCAGGCTGAATAAATGAGCCCAGTACACTGACACACCTCACACACCGCAACCTCGGGCCAGCTCCATCAGCGAACTCCTACTCATACGTCAGAACCCCAAACCCGCTGCCCCGCGCCGCTCTCAAGGTGCTCCCTCTGCCCCAGCGTGGATTGCCGCCGCCCCCTTTAGTTCCGCACCCCAACGCGCGTTCTTTCAGGTTGAGAGCCTTTGCCCAAGCCGTGCCCTCCACCCTCCAAGAAACCCCCGACAACCTCCGCGCGGCCCCCGCACTCACCCCGCGGCGGCGGCTGTGCCTGGGCTTGCTCACGTTCTTGGTCACCTTGTGGCCCTTGTTGAGGCCCACGGCCATAGGGTAGCGTAGAGCCATGGCTGCGGACAGCGGCGGGGAGAAGGGGCGGAGGTGAGTACAGGCTCGGTTCCCGAGACCCAGAGACCCGCGTCCCGGCTTCTTCAGCCTCGCTCGCCACAACCAACCATCCTCCAACCCGCACAGAGGACCCGGGAGTCTGGATGGCGGCGGATAGCGGCGGATCCCGGCAGTGCGAGAACGCACTTACCTGCTGCTCTCCAGTGGCGGCCCTGGCGGAAGGGCTGGAGCCGAGCGGAACTCTGGGATATCTACTTGGCTCAGGAGGCGCAGGCCAGAGAGGCAAGAACGGCGCGCGCTCCCCCTGGCGGCTGGAGTCTTCCCCCGCGGTCTCACTGAGCATGCGCGACCGAGCTCCCTGAGCATGCGCGTTTACTCCTGGCTGCCTTCCTCCCTCTGCTTGTGACATGAGTTGGAATGCCAACTCCGCCGATTTCTGGCCGACCCTGCATCGACGACGTCATCTCCCAGAATTTCTTCAATTGTAGAACGAGAATAATAATAATAAACTGTTTGAACTGTTAAAACGCCCATTAGGCCAGGTGCGGTGGCTCACGCCTGTAATCGCAACACTTTGGGAGGCCAAGGCTTGTGGATCACGAGGTCAGGAGCTCGAGACCAGCCTAACACGGTGAAACCTCGTCTCTACGAAAAACACAAGAAATTAGACAGGACTGGTGGCAGGCGCCTGTAGTCCCAGCTAGTCGGGAGGCTGAGGCAGGAGAATGGCGTGAACCCGGGAGGCGGAGCTTGCAGTGAGCCGAGATTGCGCCACTGCACTCCAGCCTGGGCGACAGAGCAAGACTCCGTCTCAAAAATATAATAAATAAATAAATAAATAAATAAATAAATAAATAAATAGCCAGGCATAGTGGCATGCTTCTGTAATCCCAGCTATTCAGGAGGCCGAGGCAGGAGAATTGCTTGAACACCAGAGGCAGAGGTTGCAGTGAGCCAAGATCGCGCCACTGCAGTCCAGCCTGGGCAACAGCGAAACTCTCAAAAAAAAAAAAAAAAAAAAAAAAAAAAAAGTCCCATTAATGAGGGTATTGGTTTCATTATCTATCAATTGGTCAAGCTCTGGACTCGGTCTGAATACAGCAACGTGTAATAGTGCCCCTTGGGGACATCTGATATAATTTTAGGTGGTGCAGGGACGGGAAGCTAAATAACTGAATCACGTGGCGGAAACACACACGTTTCCAATTTTTCTCCTTTAATGCTACTAATATACGAGAGAGAGAGTCTCAATTTAGGGCTGCTCTAATTGGGGTTAGCGCTTTCATGTTTTTTCCAGACAGAGTCTTGCTCTGTCACGCAGGCTACAGAGTGCAGTGCTGTAATCATAACTTATTGCAGCCTTGACTTCCAGGGCTCAAGTGATCCTCCTGCCTTAGCCTCCTTAGCTGGGACCACAGGCACATGCCACCACGCCTGGCTAATTTTTTAATTAAAATATTTGCAGCCGGGTACAGTGGCTGACACCTGTAATTCCAGCACTTGAGGGGGTGAGACAGAGGTTTCACCTAAGGCTAGGAGTTCGAGACCAGCCTGGCCAACATGGTAAAACCCCATCTCTACTAAAAAAAAAAACAAAAAGGTGTGGTGACCTGCACCTATAATCCCAAGTATTCGGGAGCCTGAGGCACAAGAATCGCTTGAACCCTGGAGGTGGAGTTTGCAGTGAGCCTAGACCGCACCACTGCACTCCAGCCTGGGTGACAGAGTGAGACTCCGTCTCAAAAAATAAATACATTAAAAAGTAAAGACAGGGTTTCATCATGTTGGCCAGGCTGGTCTCAAACTCCTGACCTCAAGTGATCTGCCCACCTTGGCCTCCCAAAGTGCTGGGATTACAGGCGTGAGCCACGGCTCCTGGCCCTCTCAGCCTCCATTTCTCCACCTGTGAAATGGGATTGAGAGTCAAGGATCCTGATGCATACACCCCACTCCCTCTGCCCACCAGCTGCTAGCAAATTGGAATTACCAAGGAATTTGAACAGCATATATGCAAGAGAAGAAGAGTTTTTATTCACAAACAGGAGGCTGGGTCCAGCCCAGAACACACTCTTTCCCTCCTCCTCCCTCTCAGACCCTGCCACCAGCTAGACGAACAGTGTAGACGTCCCTGCAGGTGTGAAAAGTACCAGAGACCCCACCTGGGGGAAGCTGGCAGGGGTTGGGGGAGATAATCCCAGATGCAATGAGTGGAAAAAATAAATCAGGGACTTAGAAACACAGACAGGAGATGGAGAGGGGTCCATGGGTGGCTCAAGGGTGGCGTGACCTCTCTGAGCCTCAGTTTCCTCATCTGCAAAATGGAAGCAGTCATGTCATCAATAAAGGCCAAACAGGTGAGGCCTTGCAGGTCCCGGACAAAGGCACCTAACAAGGGGCACCTGCACCTCCGAAGCTGTAACTGGTTCCAGGTGCCCGTCGTTTTTCTGGGTTTTGCTTTTCTGTCTTGATGACCTCATCTTGGGCTATGGCCACCCTCTCAGGGCTGTCTCTGTGAGTGTTCTGGCTCCAGGGACAGTTGGAGAGAGGAACGTTCCCGTCTGGGACGTTAAGGGGCACCCCCCGGTGCTCAGGCTGCAGCAGCGGCGGTGACGTTGAGATCCTGGCGGATAAACCAGGCCCGCGGGCGCGGCAGCCAGCGCCGGAGCAAGCACAGCAGGTGGAAACGCCACGGGTAGAAGACGCCAGCTGCGCGCGTGGCGCCGCCGCGGATCACGGCCAGGGCTGCCTTGGGCCCCGGGGCCGCCTTGACCCTCGTGACTCCCCTGGGGACGGGAGGGCGCGGTGGGGACTGCGGCTGGGACTGGGCGGCCGCCCATGGGCCCCAGCCCAACCCCAGGCTCGCCCGGGCCTCACCTGACTGCCTCAGCGGCGGAGGCGCGATCTCGGAGGCCCAGGACACACATGGTGATTGCCACGTTCACGTCCTGCACGTCCAGTTCCCGCCGCAGGGAGCCGAAGAAGCCGTCCAGCGCGAACTTGGCCGCTGAGTAGGGAGTGGAGAACGACGTGGGCACGCGACCTGGGAGCGCGGACAGCAGCGGCTGAGTGGCTCCCCGTCGTCCGGGAAGCCTGCCCAGACCCTCCCCAGGCTCACCCGCATCGAGCTCCCCACTCCCCGTCCCGCAGAGCCGGGGCCGAGTGCACGCACCGAGCAGCGAGGACACCACCACCAGGGAGCCCTTGCTGTCCGTCAGGCTGGGCAGCGCCCGCGACGTCAGTTGCACGTAGCTCAGAAAGTTTACCTGCAGGTGGCACTCGCGAGTCACCGGCAGAGGCGGAGCCTAGGGGCAGGGCGGGGCTAGAAACCCGGAGGGCGGGGCCAGGACCGGGTCCGAGGCGGGGCCAGAAACCCGGAAGGCCAGCCCGGGGGCGGGGTCAAGACCGGGGCGGGGTCAAGACCGGGGCGGGGCCTTGGGCTAGGAGGGGCGTGGCCGGGGCGGGAAAGGTGGAGAGCCGGCTCAGGAGTTGGCAGAGCCCCGGCCGCGAAGGGAGAGGACCACCGGTCCCTGAGATCGAGGGGCGGGCTGGGGCCACGGAGGAGCGGAGCACCTGCATGAGCCAGCGCGTCGCCTGGGGGGTGCGGGCTCGCGTGCCGGCCGGGACGCCTCCGATGTGGTTCAGCACGAGATAGTCCAGCCCTCCTGGCCCAGAAACGCCGGTCTGCCCCGAGGCCCCTCCCCAAGGACACGATCAAACCCCGCCCCCGATCTTAGCTCCACCCAGAGCACTGATCCAGTGAGCTCCGCCCCAGGTAACTCCCCCTACGATCAAAGACACCCAGCCCTGGCCTTACTCCCTGGATCTAGCAAGGTTTCCTCCCCATTCAGTGAGGCCCCGTTCAGAGCTCTTTCCCCAAGATGCAATGAGACTCCGCCCCGACCATGCCCCCAGTCCGCATACGTATCCGTCCTGAGACACCTGTTACTGTAGCCACACCCACAGCCCAATTCCGGTCCTGTCCCTAAGGCCTAGGCCAAGGTCCTGGACTCCAGACTTCAGGCCCAGCCTCTCACCCAGCTTGTCCAGCGCAAACTGCACCACGCTCTCGGGCGCCTCAGGGGAGGCCATGTCCGCAGCGATGTAGAAGACCTTGGGGGCGCCCAGCTTCCGGCAGTTCCCTACCACCTGGGGGGGCCAGAGATGCCCGTGGGCCTCTCCTCTACAGCAGTGCCCCCCTACCCCGCACCTGCCAGCCATAGGGAGGCCCCCGCCTGAAACCACCCCTCCTCACTCTGAGCCTCAAGCCCCATTCGACACCATTCCCAAAAATTTACCAGTGCTGGGGGCACAAAGTGGAGCCCGCGGGCCAGAATGCTGGCCAATTTGGTGGTTAGTCAATCATCAACATCTAAAACAGGACATTTCACCTACAATTTCCAGATTGCTAGCTTCTCTTGAAAAACTGAAAGGTTTGTGAAGTACCTTGAAAGTACCTTGAAATACCCTTCCTTGAAGTAGCAATGGGCTGTTTGTTGCTAGGAAGTGGCCATCCGTCCCTTGGAGTTTGAGAACCCTGGCTATCAGCACAGGCGTGGACACCCAATACTCTCATTTGCTGAGAAACACTGCACTTTCCAGTCACCGCCTCACTGCACTGGCACAACATCCTAACCCATGAGAAGGTGGGGTTTTTGTTTGTTTGTTTGAGACGGCGTCTCACTTTGTTGCCCAGGCTGGAGTGCAGTAGTGCGATCTCGGCTCACTGCAACCTCCACCTCCAGGGTTCAAGTGATTCTCCTGACTCAGCCTCCCACGTAGCTGGGACTACATGCTCGTGCCACCATGCCCTGCTAATTTTTTTCTTCTTTGTTTTGAGACAGAGTCTGTCACCCAGGCTGGAGTGCAGTGGTGCGATCTCAGCTCATTGCAACTTCCACCTCATGGGTTTCAGCAATTCTCCTGCCTCAGCCTCCTCAGTAGCTGGGATTACAGGTGCCTGCCACCATGCCAGTGTTTTTTTTGTTTTGTTTTGTTTGTTTTGGGTTTTTTTTTTTTTTGTATTTTTAGTAGAGATGGGGTTTCACCATGTTGGCCAGGCTGGTTTTGAACTCCTGACCTCAAGTGATCTGCCCGCCTTGGCCTCCCAAAGTGCTAGGATTACAGGCGTGAGCCCACCGTGCCTGGCCTAATTTTTGTATTTTTAGTAGAGATGGGGTTTCACCATGTTGGCCAGGCTGGTCTTGAACTCTTGACCTCAGGTGATCCACTTGCCTCAGCCTCCCAAAGTGCTGGGACCACAGGTGTGAGCCACCTTGTCTGGCCAGAAAATGGTTTTATTGTCCCCGTTTTGCAAATGAGGAAACTGAGAGGCTCAGAGAGATTAGGCGACTTGCCCAAGGTCACACAGGAAGCCTGGATCATTGCAGGGATTCAAACCTAGGCTCTCTTCCCTCCCGCCACGAGCACCCCCACCATTCGTCTAGACATGGGGTGGCTCACCTTCTGCAGGAGGGCCTCAGTGTGGGCCGTGAGCACCAGGTGGGAGCCCAGACGGGCGTAGTGATAGGCCAGCTCCTCACCGACACCAGCGCTGGCCCCTGTCAGCAGCACTCGCGCTCCCTGGAGGCTGGCTGGCCATAGCCAGGGTGGTCACTCTGGGCGGAGGACAGGACAACTGGCCCGCTTTCTCCCTCCCTCAACCCCAGGTGCTCACCTGGGTCGAAGTTGTCATCCCAATAATAGGCGAAGAACAGGGCCCCCAGCCCTGTGAGGAGAAGCACTTTCATGGTCCTCTGTGGGCCTGCAGAGGGACAGGGGACAGAGGTGGCCGGCACAGGCCTGGCCCACAGCCACCGCGTTTGGTGGGTGTTTGGTGATGCCACCGCCTTGGATCCACGCCCTCCTCTCCACAGCCACCACCTGTCCAGACCACCGCACCTGCACCCTCTCCCTCCACCCTTCTCAGCCCTCTCCATCCACACACCTTGCCTCCCCTGGACTGAAAATCCTTCCTGTTCCAGTTAGAATAAAAACCAGACTCCTTGGTGGCCACAAGCGCCCTGCGCGGACCTGTCCTCCTTGCTCACTCTGCTCCACTAAAACAGACCCTTTGCTGTTCCTGGAAACCAGCTGGCCGGGCGCGGTGGCTCACACCTGTAATCCCAGCACTTTGGGAGGCCCAGTCGGGTGGATCATGAGATCAGGAGATCGACACCATCCTGGCTAATACGGTGAAACCCCATCTCTACTAAAAGTACAAAAAATTAGCCAGGCGTGGTGATGGGCGCCTGTAGACCCAGCTACTCGGGAGGCTGAGGCAGGAGAATGGTGTGAACCCGGGAGATGGAGCTTGCAGTGAGTTGAGAAGATTGTGCCACTGCCCTCCAGCCTGGGCAACACAGCGAGACTCCATCTCAAAAAAACAAACAAAAGCGCCATTCACCATCCTGCCTCAGGGCCTTCGCATAGGCTGTTTCTACTGCCTAGAATGCTGTTCCCGGATATAAGCAAATGGCTTGCTCTCTCACTTCTTTCAAGTCTCAGTGCAAAAGTGACCTCCTTGGGCTGGGTGTGGTGGCTCATGCCTGGAATCCCAGCACATTGGGAGGCTGAGGCAGGCAGATCACTTGAGGTCAAGAGTTCGAGACCAGCCTGGCCAACATGGTGAAACCCCGCCTCTACTAAAAATACAAAAATTAGCCGGGCGTGGTGGCAGGTGCCTGTAATCCCAGCTACTCAGGGGGCTGAGGCACACACATGCCTGTAATCCCAGATACTTGGGAGGCTGAGGCAAGAGAATTGCTTGAACCCGGGAGATGGAGGTTGCAGTGAACTGAGATTTGCCATTGCACTCCAGCCTGGGCAACAAGAGCAAAACTCCATATCAACAACAACAACAAAAAAAGGCTGGGCGTGGCGGCTCACACCTGTAATCCCAGCACTTTGGGAGGCCAAGGCGGGCCAAGAGGTCAGGAGATCAAGACCACGGTGAAACCCCGTCTCTACTAAAAAATACCAAAAAAACTAGCCAGGTGAGGTGGCGGGCGCCTGTAGTCCCAGCTAGTCGGGAGGCTGAGGCAGGAGAATGGCGTGAACCCGGGAGGCGGAGCTTGCAGTGAGCTGAGATCCGGCCACTGCACTCCAGCCTAGGCGACAGAGTGAGACTCTGTCTCAAAAAAAAAAAAAAAAAATAGTCAGTGGGACAAGGAAGAGGACTTCCAGAACCAGGAAGATGAGACAAACCAGTGGAGGATCATTGGGAGTCGAGATCTGCCATCACAGGAGTCAGTGGGACAAGGGGAAGAGGACTTCCAGAACCAGGAAGATGAGACAAACCAGATGGAGGGGATCATTGAGGAGTCCCGAGATCTCCCATCTGTAGGTCCAGCCCTAGGTTCTTTGCCTCTGCTGTCCTCTGGGTGTCTCCTCTTGACAACCTCCAGGCCCCTTAGAGCCAGCAGGACCCAATCTAGGCTCAGCATGTCACCCTACACCTGCTTCTCTTCCCAGCTCACCATCACAGTAATAGCCCCACTGTCCCCTGTCCCTAAATGGGAGACCCAGGCATTGTCCTTACCTCCTTCTATCCTTTCACCCCCATGAGCTCATGGTTTTCAGATCTTACCAATTCTCCCTCTCCAATCTCTCCCCAACTGTCCCTTCCTCTGTCTCTCCAGGGCTCCCAGATTGTTACCTCCCTCCTAGACTCTACTCCTGGCCTGACCACCCCCATTTTTCCTCTGGCCTCCCTTCCATCTCCCATTTGGTCTCCCCCACCTTCACACTGGCTTCCCCATGTCCACACTCACTCCCTCCCTGCCTCTCCTGTCCATGCAGCCAAAGGCATCTGTGTCAAAAGCAACATGGCCACAGCCCTGCCTGCTCCAAACCCTCTCAGGGGTCCCCACTGCAACTGGTGGAAACCAGGCTCCTCACTGCACCCCATGAGGCCCTGCAGATGTAGACCCTGACTACCTGTCGACCCTGACTACCTGTCTCTCCTCCTCTCCCACGGCCCCATCAATGAATCGTTCAGTTCTCACAATAGTGAACTCCTCGCCTTCCCCAAACACACCAGGCATGCCCACAGCAAGAAACGAGCTTCCACCTTTTCCCCTGCCAGGGACAGCCCATGAAGCCCCTCTGCTCATCCCTCTTTCCACTCCCAGCTCCATACTGACTGCAGCAGCCCGGCAGGGGGAAGTGGGACCAGATGGGTGGACGGATAGGTGGATGGATGGATGGACAAATGCATGTATGGATGCACAGATACAAGGATGGATGGGTGGGTGGATGACCAGATGAATAGATGGATGGGTGGATGGATGGATGATGGACGGACAGATGCATGGATGGATAGACAGATGAGTGGATGGATGGATGAATGGATAAACGGGGGGAACACATAAATGGATGGAAGGATGGACGTATGGACGGACAGATGCATGGATGTATTTATGGATGTATGGACGGATGGATGAGCGGATGGCCAAATAAATAGATGAATGGGTGGACAGATGGATGGGCGGAAGGATGGGGGAGCAGATGGATGAATGGATGGGTGGGTGGATGGGCGGACAGATGGATGAACGGATGGGTGGATGGATGGGGATTCAGATGGATGAGCGGAAGTGTGGATGGATAGATGGAAGGATAGATGGGTGGATGGACGGATGGATGGATGGAAGGATGGATGGGTGGATGGACAGATGGATGGATGGATGGAAGGATGGACGTATGGACAGAGGGATGGGCAGATGAACGGTTAAAGCAGCCCGGCCGAAATGCGGGAGAAATGGGGGGGAGCCAACTCTCTGCAGAACTCACCGGCCCCTTCTTGACCTCGGCGGTCCTTAGCTTCCCTCTGACCCTTAGCGTGTGACCCGCTGCGCACCCCTAAACCATGCACTCACCCACTCAGGCCTCAGTTTCCCCCACTGTCCAGCAGGGCTGGGGTCCCGGCCTGGGAGCCACGCGAACGCCCCCACAGTCCTCTCTTCTCGGCCGCCTCCTGCCGGGTACCCGACCGCGCCCCCTCCCGTAGGGCCCGGGTCACGTGACTCGAAGCCCACCTTCTCCCGGGGAGGAGCCAGGCCGCGGGGACCCAGCGCCGGAGCGTCGCCGGGCAACAGTCCCCGCCTGGTCTCCACCTCCCAGCAGGGGCCCGGCGCCGCCCCCTGGGCGGACGCCCCGCCTCCGAATCGATCACATGAGGGGGCCGCCGCTCTCGAACAATCCCGCCCTCGCGTTGCCGTGACAACCGCCTTCTAGGCACACTCTTCCTAGGTCCGGGCCCTTCGTTCCCCGCGCGGGCGCGGGTGGATCTCTCGGATTCCGACTTCTTCTCGGGTCACCTTCAGGCTTCAGCCGGGCACCTAACGCCTCTTTCCCCTCACGCTGCCAGGACCGGGCCGGGCCGAACTACATTTCCCAGGAGGCTCCGCGGGGAGGTACAAATAGCGCCGTGCTGACTACATTTCCCAGACAACCTTGCGGCGGCCCGGGCCTTAAAGCGTCCATTTCCCAGCGGCCCCTTGCTGCGGGACTGCAGCCTTTCTTTGGAGTCTCAGAGCCGTAAGAGACTACGACTCCCAGAGGACCTTGCGTCGGGCAAGAAAGACTACGCCTCCCAGAGGCCTCTGCAGGGCCGCGACAGGAAGCGGCGGGCGAGTCGAGTGTCCTTGCGCGTGGATCCGAGCGACCATGGTGGCCCGGGTGTGGTCGCTGATGAGGTGCGTGAGGGAGCCGGAGGGGACCCGAGTCCCCGAAAAAGTCCCTTTTTGCGGGCATCCCTGTCTCCAGTCTGGTCCCGATCTGCTCTTCGCTTTCCGTAGGGTCACCTCCCCTTCGTCCCCCGCCTATGGGCTAGATAGGGAAACTGAGGCTCCAGCGGGGTGGGGCTTCCCGAGGTCGCCAGTCCCCTCCCTCCTGCCTCCCAGCGAGCCCTTGGCGTTCCACTCGCGGTGTCAGCCTCCGCCTCCGAGCCTCAGTTGTCTTCTCTGTGAAGTGGGAATGCCGGTGAATCCTGCCGCTGGCGTGGATGGGAGGTGAATGCGTGCTCGGAGTGACAGCGGGCAGGAGGCGCCCAGGAACACTTGGTTTCTCCAGGGCTGGAAGGCTTCTAGAATGTCAAGGATCTTACGTCTTCACTGCCCCTGCTCACTGTGGGACTTTGAGTGACCCACTCTCCCCCTCTGGGTTTCAGTTTGTCAGTTAAAGTGGCGTCCAGCCGCCCTGCCTTGCACATTGTAAATCGAGTGCTGTATATAATGGGAGTCTGGGTCGACGGTGCTACACTACAGTGTGTCACCTGTGGACGGTGAGCCCCCAGGAGGGTCTCACTGTCTCCGTGGGCCTTTAGCTCCTGAGGGTGGCGGTCAGTGTCCGCTGAGCTTCTGCTCCTCCCGTCCCTGCCCGCAGGTTCCTCATCAAGGGAAGTGTGGCTGGGGGCGCCGTCTACCTGGTGTACGACCAGGAGCTGCTGGGGCCCAGCGACAAGAGCCAGGCAGCCCTACAGAAGGCTGGAGAGGTGGTCCCCCCCGCCGTGTACCAGTTCAGCCAGTACGTGTGTCAGCAGACGGGCCTGCAGATACCCCAGGTACTCCGGGCTGGGAGCGAGGCCAGGGCTTGGCGGGTGGTGAGCTCTTGGGGGGTCCCTCCAGCCCTGCATGGTGTTGTTCTCCATATTTATGCTGGCCTGATTCTCAGGCCTGTCCTCCTCCCTCTGCTTCTGGGGATGGGCTGCTGAGCCTTTTCACCACTTCTTTTTGCTCATCTCTTTTCCCAGCTCCCAGCCCCTCCAAAGATTTACTTTCCCGTCCGTGACTCCTGGAATGCAGGTAAGGCACCCAGTTTCTTTACTTGGGAGGTTGCTGCAGACACCCCAGTCTAGCCCCTCTCCCCACTTCCTGGCCATTCCTTTCTGTCCATCCCCCTTCCTGCCCAACATATGTCTGTTAGGGATCTAAAAGGGAAAGAAGGCCGAGCACGGTGGCTCACGCCTGTAATCCCAGCACTTTGGGAGGCTGAGGTGGGTGGATCATCTGAAGTCAGGAGTTCCAGACCATCCTGGCCAACATGGTGAAACCCCGTCTCTACTAAAAATACAAAAATTAGCTGGGTGTGGTGGTGCGTGCCTGTAGTCCCAACTGCTCGCGAGGCTGAGGCAGGAGAACTGCTTGAACCCAGGAGGTGGAGGTTGCAGTGAGCAGAGATGGTGCCACTGCACTCCAGCCTCAGTGACAGAGCAAGACTCTGTCTCAAAAATAAATAAATAAATAAATACAAGGGAAAAGAGTGGAGATTCTAAGGAAGGGGATTGGGGGGAGCCTTGAGGGCTGGGTTGTACAACACCTGGTAGAATGACAGGCAGGAGGCCTGGGCCCGCCCACATTGGAGCTTGTCCTATGAGCTTGGACAAGGCAAGGCCCTGCCCCACCAATGCCTCAGTTTCTGCTGGAAGTTGTTCTAAAAAAATTTTGCTTGCTGGGTGTGGTGGCTCATGGCTACCAGCACTTTTGGAATCCAAGGCAGAAGGATTGCTTGAAGCCAGGAGTTTGAGAACAGCCTGGGCAATATAATGAGACCCTCTCTCTACAAAAAAAAAAAAAATCTTTTGTAATTAGCTGGGCATGGTGGCGTGTGCCTGTAATCTCAGTTACTCGGGAGGTTTAGGCAGGAGGATGCCTTGAGCCCTGGAGTTCAAGGCTGCAGTGAGCTATGATCACACCACAGTACTCCAGCGTGGGCAACAGAGGGAAACCCTGTCTCTAAAAACCAAAACAAAGCCGGGTGCGGTGACTCACGCCTGTAATCCTAGAACTTTGGGAGGCTGAGGCGGGCAGATCACAAGGTCAGAAGTTCAAGACCAGCCTGGCCAACATAGTGAAACCCCATCTCTACTAAAAATACAAAAATTAGGCTGGGTGCAGTGGCTCACGCCTGTAATCCCAGCACTTTGGGAGGCCGAGGCGGGCAGATCATCTGAAGTCAGGAGTTCAAGACCAGCCTGGGCAACATGGTGAAACCCCATCTCTACTAAAAATACAAAAATTAGCCGGGCTTGGTGGTGCGCGCCTGTAGTCCCAGCTACTTGGGAGGCTGAGGCAGGAGTATCGCTTGAACCCGGGAGGTGAAGGTTGCAGTGAGCCAAGATCGCACCACTGCACTCCAGCCTGGGCGACAGAGTGAGACTCTGTCCCGTCCCCCTGCCCACCACCCAAAAAAAAACCTCTTAGAGTTTCCCAGGGGTTGGAGGCTGGGTGAGGCTGGGAGGGGAGCATCACCAGTGGCCGTCCCTTTCCCACAGGCATCATGACGGTGATGTCAGCTCTGTCGGTGGCCCCCTCCAAGGCCCGCGAGTACTCCAAGGAGGGCTGGGAGTATGTGAAGGCACGCACCAAGTAGCGAGTCAGCAGGGGCCGCCTGCCCCGGCCAGAATGGGCAGGGCTGCCACTGACCTGAAGACTCCAGACTGGGACCCCACTGCGAGGGCAGCTTCCGGCCTTGCCGGCCCAATAAAGGACTTCAGAAGTGTTCCCTGACCCGTGTGCTGGCCCCAAGGGGCACAGGGTCGGCCTGGTGGTGCCCAGAGCACCAAAGCCTGGGCTTCTGGCTCCTGATGGCTTGTCAGGGCTTGATCTTGACCACAGGCCATAGCTCTCCCCTTTGCCGTCTGCTCTGGTGCGGGGAGTTAGAGGTCACAGCGGTTGCTCCCGGTGCTCCCCAGGCCGTGCTCTGGGGCCAGGAAAGTGCTTTGGCCAAGCCTGGGTTGTGGGGGGTCTTGGTTTTGGAGGGCTGAGACCACGGTAGGACAGTGGAAGAGCCAGAGTGGACAGAAGTGGGGTCTGCTTCCCTGCAGGACACAGGGCAGGAGCCCCCGGGGCACTGGTTCCTGCCCTCCTCAGCTCCTATCCACAGTCCTGTCCCAGCCTTTTGTTGGCTGGACTCCACCCTCATTCCACCCTCTCCTCGACAACCCTAGGGATTCCTGGCTATTGAAGGAAATCCACGTGTTTGTTGCCATTCAGAGGGTCTCCCAGACATCCCCTCTCCCCTGGGACGCCTTCCCTGACACCCTTGCCACACAGTGGCTGAGCTACCTGGCAGCCTGCACTGTTCCCCCGCATCAGGCATGAGCCCTGGGAGGCCGGGCCTGTCGAGGGGCTCCCTGAGAGGCTCCCAGCATCCAGTCACAGAGGGCGGTCCACAGGGTTGGTGATGGCAAGAGGCCTGGTGGCTCCAGGCAGATGGGGGTGTGGCGGTGGGGGGCTTGGGTGGGGCCGGAGACCTCCGTAGGATGCTGCCCTGAGGGCAGGGAGCAGACGGGTGATGCTCACCGAGGTGGAACAGGGTCCCCGTTCCCACGAGTTCAGGGGTTTATGTTGCTTGGCGTAGGGGACTGAGCTCAGGAGGGGACAGCTGTTACAGAGGAGAGGAGCAGAGACTAGAGGCCGGGGCATCTTCCCTGCTGTCCCACTCAGAGAGGAGAAGCCCCTGGCCTGAGCAGGGCGTAGGAGGGGTGTGGCTGGGATCAGCGGCCTAATCTGGCAGAAGGGGAGCCCACGGGGCCTACCCACCCCCTTCCCCCGAGGAGCATGGTCCCGGGGCAGGTCCCCCACATCCGCTGTACCCCTGTCCTTACTGGGCCTTAACAGTGGTCGGGGCAGGTCTAGGGTGAGGGAGGGATGAGCAGGGCAGGGGAGCATCCCTGACCCTCGGTGCTGCAGGAGGAAGCCGGTGCTCACCGTCCTGGCCAGCAGCACCCACGCACCCACCGCCTCCTGCCACCGTCCACCAAGCCCTTCCTGAAGCCCCAGGAAGGAGCAGGCTTCAGGCCCATTTTACAGATGAAGAAACTTGCACCGACAGTTCTGTCTGCCCAGCCTGTCTGGAGCCCAGGCTGTTCACAAACTGTCACTGGGAATGCAGAATTTCCAGTTGCCTCGCACCCAGGCACACAGCCCCAGCCTGTGAGGACGGGAGGGGTTTGCTCTCAGTGCCGTGATGCCATGGCTGGGCCAGGGGGTGTCCGCCCGCTCCAGGAGGCCTCTGCAGCCCTCACACCTGTTATCAGCACTGTTAGAGGGGAAGGACTGGACAAGGCCAGTGGGCAGCTGCCTTTTGGGCCGCTTCCCTCCATCCAGGCGGCTGGGTCCTGCAGCTCCACGAATGTGACTTAGTTCTTCCCTGGGGTTGCTTATGGGCTTTATCCCATGAGTCCGTCCTCGCCCATCCACTGGCACCTGTGTGCAAGAACATGTCTGGGGTCAGGGGAGTTGGGGGGCCATGGAAGCGGAGCTCCGGAGAGCAGAGGTCTGCGGGTGACTTTGGGAAAGTGGGAAGGGGCTGGGAAAATGCCTGACCACACCCACAGCCAAGACCACAGAGCAAGGCAAGGCTGGGGTGTGGCACATTGCCATTTGACAGCTGGGGTCACTTGATAGCTAGAAGCAGGATGGGCTAGGAACCGAGTCCAGGGAAAGCTAGCCTGTCGCGACGTGGGATCGGCAGAGCTAGAAGAGAGAGCGGGGGAGTCCATAGGCCTGGAGGCCAGCTGGGGCTGGGGCATGGGGGACACTGAGTGGCTGTCATCAGTGGCTGCCCTTCCTTTCACCTGTCACCACAGCTGCCCATGGTCCCACTCCAGCCTTGAGTGCACTTTGCCCGGTCCTGGCCTGGAGTGAGTGCTAACTGGGCATCCCAAGGGCTGGTGGGTACAGCAGAAGTGGAGGTGATTAGCTGGGTGTGGTGGCACATGCCTGTGGCCCCGGCTGAGGCAGGAGGATCACTGGGACATTGAGGCTGAGGTGAGCCATGACTACCACCACACTCCAGCCTGGGTGAAATAGTGAGACCCTGTCTCTTAAAAAAAAAAAAAAAAAGCCAAGGTAACCAGGAGCAACGTGAGCCCTGAGGGTCCCCAGCCCTGGCTGGGGGGATGCTGGGCTCAGGGTCTCTGTGGCACCAGCCCAGAGCACGTTCAGCCCACCCTTGGCCCCATCCATCCGGTGCCATATGGGCCAGCGGCAACCTGGGTTCTTCCCTTGTGGGCTGAGGGCTGAGCAGCCAGTTTTAATTAAATCTGAAAGGACAAGGTGACAACCGAAGCAGCTGACAGCCACGTGTCTTCCCATCTCACATGGTCCTGGAAATGAGTTTGCTGTCAGTAGAGATGCAGGATGTTTCTTCTCAGTCATTTTGCAAGCCAGGGACCTCCAGCCGGCGACACCTAGCCTGGGCCTCGCTTGGCCATGCTGGCATGCCCCAGTCGCCTGTGTTGTATAGCTTGTACCAAGCTATTGTACTGCGCCCAAGAAGAACGAGGATACGCTGGACATTGAAGGCTGAGGAGGGAGGAGAAGAATTTTACTGAGCGACTGAACAGCTTTCAGCGGAGAGAGGATGCGGGGTCTGGTTTTCTCCTCCTCGCGTAGCTGGGTCCAGGACATTTTATAGGCTCAGAATTGCGGGGGCGGGGGGAGGCCATAGGTAGTATTGGAAAGGGCAACATTCGATTGGTTAAAAGGCATTGTTCAGAAAGAATCAACCAGGAAAGGGGGGACAAACAGGAACAGAAGTTCTCTCTCTGGGTGGTGGGTTTCCTCCAGGACCAGCAGTCTGGTCTTTCAGCTTTCGGGCTGTTTTTGGCTTGAAGGTGGGGTTTCCCTAGGACCTGCCCCTTTCTGCCTAGACACTTGGCTGCCTCCAGTCCCTTTCAGTAGTGATCCCAGTGAACTTGGACTCAGGAGCTGCTCTATGCCTTGGTAGAATTCGGTTTTTGGAGCTGGAGGGAGAGGGAATGCAGTCCTGCGATGACACCCTTCAGCCTGCAATCCTC